TTTTATCTAGGGATGCACGATATATCGGCCGCCATATCGGTATCGGCCGATAAATGCTCTTTTTTTTCTGTTATCGGTATCGGCCTGATAAGAAAATTTGGCCGATATCTTAAAGCCGATAAATAATGCATTATTTCCTTCAGAGACACTTCAGATGTGCGCTGTTCGTTTGCAGCCTTTTGTGCAATTGTACGTTGTAATATTGTGTTTATTTGATGTATATCTGATTTATCTCATATAGAATGCGTTTGGTTAAGTTAAAAGAGCGCTTCAGTTTACCGGTGATCATCTTTAGCTCAGCGCACGCAGCTCAAACAGCAGTGCACAACATTAATAACTATGATTGGGAATGTCGTGTATATAACATTCTAATGAGAACATTATTATAATAAAACGTTGTGAATTCTTTGTGTTTAGTTGCTGTGTTTCAGTGCGTTGTTATGGGAAGAGCGCATCCACAACAGGATCACACATTCTGACTATAGCATGCAATAACTGCGTCATTTTGTACATATATAAGTTGTAATATTATGTTTATGTTGTATTAATATTAATCTCAGGATGCATTTCCTTGAGTTAAATAAGCTGCCAGCAAAACGCTTCAGTTTACCGTGTTCATTCAGCTCTTCAGCTTCAGCACGTGCAGCTCAACGGCTGCTATTTAAAACAGTGGTATTCATTTGTTACTTTTTCAAAATCATTGGTATATTATTAATAACAACAACCACTTGTATTTTTCTCTTATTATTTTCATCAACAATATGGTTTAGTCATTAAAATCATTTAATTATTGTCCGTGCAGAGGCTATTCTGTTTTATTGATCTATGGCGCATTCATTTTGATTCTTTACACGTAATGATGTCCAGTGACTTGTTTGCATTATTTATGCATTATTTTATTTATTTGTAAGACTTTTTTATGACTAAATTTGGTAATGGGAGAGTAAACATATTTTTAAAACGTACACCGTTCAAACTAGGCTGCTTATGTTGAAGTGTTTGGGATGTGGCTTTTAATGATGAGACCTTTTTTGTAATCAGGCTCTCAAAAAGTATATAACAATTTGGATATAGATTTATCGGCCAACATATCGGTTATCGGCTTTCAAAAATAAAGAATAATCGGTTATCGGTATCGGCCAAAATTTTCATATCGGTGCATCCCTACTCCTAGTCCCTCCCCAGTTCCTCTCTGTACCAACTTTATTTTGAATGGCATACAAATGTCTT